CCCCCCCCCCCCCCCCCCCCCCATTGTATCCAAATCATATGTTTTTGTATTTCAAGCCTGGAATTCATAGTGTATGATTCACAACTTTAGGTTTGATATCTTCTACCAAATCTGTCGATCTATTTCTTTTGAATACAGGATCTCATATAGCAACCTAAGCTCCCACAGTCTTCGAAGGCCAAAGCAAAGCCTATTCTATAAATCTGAGTTTTGATTGATTGAATGTAGTTAGAATGCTACACAGTAATGTGTTCATGGCATCACACCCAACTTATGAGGGAAAACTTGGAATTGGGTCATCCACCAAAATATATAACAGTGCACAACTTAATTAAAGGAAAGGTGGTAAATCAAACCGTAAATTTGGCATTTGTAATACCTCAAGCATGTTTTCATTGGGAGAACAGGATGCCATAAGATTTGACCCATGGGAAACGTCATATTGTAGGATTCTCAGCTTCCCTTCCTGCATGTTTAGAGAAAAATGTCAGAAAAATTATTTCCAGAAGCAAAGACATAAAAATTCATAACAAATTTCTGCTGTTCACCTTAGTTCCATAGACAAGGCCACCACCAACTGAGGGATGAAAACAAGCTACATTGACCTCATCGTCTGCACTAGGAAGAACTCTCACAAGTTCCATATCAGAAACTCTATAGACCTGATTAATAAAAACAGACTATGAATGGCGAAACTACCAATACCATTGAATATTAGTACATATTTTAGTATGATTTTCAGTTTAGGATAGTCTTACTTACAGCTATACTTCTAATACATTCACTTCATTTTATGCAACCAAATGGTTAGCACAAGTACATAGGATGGAGCTGGAGTAATTTATGTGGAGTGAAAATAGGGTGCCCTTAGCATTTTTATATAACATTACAAATAAATTCGCCAGTACTGCTTGTACACTAGACTGAATTACACAAGTCAACCATGTATATAACACTCGATGTGAGTAATAAAGAACCTAAAAATGATCCATGGAGAGAAGGAAAAGTTTGAGGGACTAGGGAAGAGATACCATATGCATATGCCATTATTTCTATTTCAACGATAATGTGCACAAGAATCCACTCTGAGGTAATTATGACTCAATTTCTAACATAAATATCATCCTTTTTTATCCTTGAATCAAAGACGTTTTCCTCACTTTTAGTGTCACTTTCTGCAAATTCTCCTTTCTGCCATGAAATAAGCCAGAAATAGCAATTCCTCATAGATGTCGTAAACATCAGTTTTCAAACCTCACAGTCAATTCATATACTACTATCTTCTCAAATGAGAATGAGCAAAAAAATAGTACCTACCTAGCATTTCATAACAAATCGCACATGACCGTTGTTACCAGCAATTCTTAACAGTGAAGAATTATGAAATGCCCTGCATGCCTCACGAGATGACATTATCAATATATGAATTCTACTAGTAACTAGTAGTATTCTTCTCTTTATCCCCAACAGACTTCAAATTTAGCATGCTCGCTTATTATGTTTATGTCTTTTGCCTTAAGAAGTTCCATTTTTCCTTTGGTTTTTGGAAGCAGCAAGCAGGGATGCAGGGTTAAGACACAGTTCAAGCTCCCAAAGGGGGCAAACCCATACTAACTGTTTTACCACTGACCTGCCTCATAATAATCTTGAGATGCCAAATGTGAAACACAATAAATAATTCTTTTGTTTTCTTTTAATACGTGATATGCATGCACCCATGACTCAAAGCATGTCCCCCTTTTAAGGGTGACAAAAGTCGCTGTCCAAGCTAGCAGCTGGCGATCTAAAGCCCGCAACTTCTGAATAGTCTCAGAATGGAGCTTTGCAAGTTCAACAAACAAGGATATAAGCAACCTAAACATGTTCAACCTTGCATACACAACTTCCTCACAAAGGACATCAAAAATCTCAAAGCATTTAGTTGGTTAAAGTCAAACCAAGCAACAATTGCTTGGCTGTCAATGCACATTGTTACCCAACAAGGAACTAATACCAGTTGTAGGTACTTTGGCCAGGGAAGGCACAATCTGAGATTAAGTGTGCAGTAGAACACACTTTTATATATTCCTTGTTCTACTACTACAAAGAATATATAACTGACAACATGATATTGATGATGTAAGATATTAATGATTTTTATATTCTGCATAGTTGGAGAGAATGCTGATTATGTAGCAAGTCAAATACAAAAAAGCAATATCGCATACGAAGTAAAGCCAATGCTCATATCCACTGACAGACGCTTATGGCAGAGGAAACAGAACAACTAAAAGCACCTCCACTCCATTTCTAAAATAGAAAGAGATATACGTGGCGCAAAAATTATAGATGTTCAAGTATAATACATGAACTTTACCTCCAGAATGGTGTAAATGGGTACTGTTGTTTCTCCATCAATCACAACACTCTTGAGAAGTGAACTATGACGACGACCATAGGCAAGTAACAAATGCTCAGATGTAGGAGAGAACTGCAATCACAATAATGTAAGTAAAACTTCAATCAATGTTAAGTAAGATCACTAAGACTCGTTCAATTTAAAACACCTATTACATCTCTTAAAAATATGGATCTCTTATTATAGAGTCTCCAGAATTGAATAGTTCAACGAAATTAAAGCCACAGGAATAAAAAAAAGCTCCTGTTCATTTTATATCAGATTTCGCAATCCATCGCATACCACACCCTACGGATTCATGGCATGATATTATATTTGCCTGTTCATGTATGCACAAGCAAAGAGATTCTAAACATATACACCCTCTATCCTAACAGAAGACTAGCAATGCAAATATTAGCTTGCCTAAACAAACACAATTTGCTTCTCATAAAGGAATCTTCCCTCTTTTTAAATGATATCTCTTCTTACACGATTCCACCACCTCACAGACCTCTCTAAGTCTATATGCCAATTAATATAGAGCAGGACGCCATGTGAAAAAGTGGGACAGGTACACCCACATCATACCAAATTCAATTTGGAACTTGAAACTGGAAACCCTCAATACTTTCAATCTCACCCCAAAGAATTTAGAAACTACAATTGATTCCCTTACAGCAAAAGATTATGGTTCTCAACCAAAACCTATTAAAACAATACCAAACCCAGAACTTGATAAACATGTCCTTTCATTAATTGAATAGGATCATGAGTAAATATCATTGGAAGCATCACACTTTTCTACACACAAATTGAAGGATCTCATTATTTGTCTCCCGACCCTCCCGTTTTCTCTGTTCGCTATAATAACATCTATTGGCATTTCTTAGAGGGTGGGGGCCACCCAGATGCAAAAAGGGGGAGTAAGAGATTGGTAGTGGTACTGGGTTACAACTATTTCCAAAAGAATTGAGAGTTAAGACTAGGAAACAGAGAAAGAGTAGAGTGGAATAAACATGAAACAAATTAGCAAGTCGACATAAAAAATAAGAACATATCCATAATATTGATGAAAATGAATATAATTAAAGCCCCAAATGACAAAAGAAATAGTACAACAATTTATTGATTCATTTGTTTCCTTTTTTGACAAGAAATGAGAATTTCATCAGAGGGAGAAAAGAAATACACATGAGAAGATCAAGAGATTCCAAAACAGAGAAACAGTAAAATAAAGAGGCTCCCTACAAAAACAAAAACAAAAAATGTGCCCCATCACTCCTCAAGATGGGGTACAAATGACCTCTAAATGAATCCAGAGTTGCCGTTCTTTCTTGGCCAGGCTGTCAGATTAAGGCACACCCTCAATACTGACTGCCTTTACAGCTCAAAATTGATAGCATACACCAGCTAGATCAATAAGAAAGTAACAGAAGACACACAAACCTTTCTTCTTCTTTGCAGTAGGCCTTTTAATGACTAAATTTACATCATTTTAAATCAAATTTGTATCCTTTGTGAGAATTATAGCAGAACATGTGTTTTTGTAGCATTTAAACATGAAATTGTACAGAAATGGTGCACATATGGCCATAGAGAAATTGACCTGGATTGAAGTTAAACAATGAGCAGCTCTGATTGCCCGTGACGCAAGAACCAAACCAAATCTAGATAAAAGGAAATTACATCAGATTACACACGCATAACTATTAACAAAAGCTACACAATAAAGAACTCAACATGTAAAGGGGTGGGTGGGAAGTTTAAACTTACGTTGCCTCCTCAAGAGAATATATTCGCAGCTCATACATGACTTGCTGTGCTGCGATTGGATGCCTTGTTGGAGATGTTGCAGCCCCTGTGGGCATCTGGCCATGGAAACCAGGATCAGCTTCCATGTTCGGTAGAAAACATGCAACACAGGCTGCCAAAAATCTCCCACAAGATGAAAAATGGGCACCCATTTCACTGGAAGGAATAAAAAATCCATGTTAAGTATTTAAAGGAATTTTGCTCAAGTACTATGCAGTTTTTGCTGTAACATGACACTCAGAAAATAGTACAAAATTTAACTATGTGCTTATCAAAATGACCAAGCTCAAGCTCAGATATTAACTACTTCAGGAAACTGGAAGTGCCAACCACTTCCACTTGCATGTAGAGGCTCCAGTTCTTTATTACAAAGTACAGATAACTAGTAAGCTTAACAATATTAAATTTGAACATAGAGCTAAACATGCCAAATATTTAGCATGGTGAAGAAATATACCTACAGAGTACAGCATGTGGTATAGTTAAGCGACATCTTTCAGCATCAAGAAATGCACGAGGATCTTTGACATCATGTGGCCATATTCTAAGCTTCACAGTGCAAGGTAACTCAGCAGCAGCTGCTGCAGCCAGCGATGCGGCTAGCTCAGACTGGATCCGGCTAACATAAGGCTGAGCATCCCTCTGATCACGTGCAATACTATTTAAAGTAGCAGTAGCAGCAGCTACAGAAGGGGACATCATGCGAGAGCGTGAAGAACGGTGCCGTGAACCAGGTCTTCCAGTACCTCTGGATTGACCACTACTTTGAACCTCCGGGGCAGGGTTATCTGTTTCACTATATGTCGGTAAGTTTTCAGGGGCACCAACATTGAGTGGAGGCATTACGCGTTGGACAGCTTGGCTTTGTCCAATCAACCAACCTTGCAGGAATGGTAATTCCCAATATCCTGGATCACCGTAAGGAAAGAATTGATTACTTCTTTCTTCAGGCTGCACATCAGTCTCCATAGCATCCACAACAGGTTGAGGAACAGAGTCTTCAGGTACAGGAGAGCTACTAGGTTCAATAGGAGACAACAAAAGTTCATACTGGCCTGAGGGAGTTGAATATGTGAGAAGCCGCACTGAGGCAGTAGGTTCCATTCTATGGTCGGCAGTCAAACTGACATCCATATCAGTTTGCTGCAACGGTATTCTCTCATTACCTCTACCCATTGAAGGCCACATCAAGAACGGTAGAGACATGAGTGGTAATTCATTTGCTGAATTAGATCCATAATTAGATTGAGCATCTGCCAAATATACAGTAGGAGGAGGGTAGCTAAAGTAACCCGGGGAAGTTGCGAGTGTCATTGGAGAATCTGATGACTCTAGGTCATTGACCTGCAAATCCGGACAATAGTAGGATCAGCAGCAATCAAAATAAGAAGCAAATAATACACATAAAAGCACCAAAAACGTTACCTCCGCAGTTAGAAGAAATGGGGCAGCATGTGGATGAAAATGTACAGCCCGAAGTGAACGGCGTGTTTTAAGTATGATGGTTGGTGAGGATGTCTCCCCTCTTCTGTTGTAGTGCCATATATAGAGCTACCATAGATTCCAACGTCAAAGCCATCATAGGATGTCCAATATAAAATTCAAAGCAATGCTGAGGTAAAGATTCCTCACCTTGTGGCCTGAAGCAACAGCCAAAAGTTCCCCTTGGGCATGGAAAGCAATAGAAGCAATAGGACGGTCTGCACAAAGAAAAAACATCTGACAAGCCAAACCTACCATTCAACTAGACAAACAGTAACAACATTTTTTTGCTGACATGTTGAGATGTTACAGAGAGAGATCTACAAAAGGAATTACAAAAATCACGCGATCCTATACACTCAGCAGTGTTTGCATCCCACAGGCGAACTTCATGATCCAAACTTCCACTTGCAAGAATGTCAGGACACAATGGGTGGAATCTAACCTGCAAAAGTTCCACCAGCATAGAGGATGGTATAGGATACTAAGGAAGAACAGCACATTCAAGGAATTGACATACAGTTGAGTTCATATAATATTGCAGAAGGACAATCAGAAACTTCCAGCATATGTATATGAAATGAAGTTCAAGCAATGCTGAAAACCTGACTTATTATATAATTACTTTTAACAAGGGAATGCTGTATAACATGCAAACACGTAAACATATTTTATAAACAAAGAAAATGCAAGAACAAAAAAGAGTCATAACAGTCGACAAAAATGCCAAATATATAAATCTTCATCTTCTTATCGGGAAAAAAAATATCATAAATCTTCTTGTTCACATGGTCATATTTCGATATCATATTACATAGATAAATACGATACCAGAGCTGCCCTCCAATTAGTGTGATAATCTGATGTGTGACATTTTTGAAACCAAGAATATCCTTCAGCATTGCAAAGCTATCAATAACATAAAATTACAAGGACCTGTTCAAGAGAAGATGAAGAATTCTCTTCTTATATTGTTCCTACTTAATTTGGTCTTTTTTCTTTTCTCAACTCCAAGATTCCTTGAAATCTAGCAAAAAACGTCTCCGNTTACAAGGACCTGTTCAAGAGAAGATGAAGAATTCTCTTCTTATATTGTTCCTACTTGATTTGGTCTTTTTTCTTTTCTCAACTCCAAGATTCCTTGAAATCTAGCAAAAAACGTCTCCGACTGATTGCCAATGGCCCAACTTTCATAGACTATTTCATCAAAACCAGACAGCAACAATATCTAGTAAATATAAAGTGGGATCAAAACAAAATCAATGATCAAGAAACAAGAAACAAGAACCCCTAGTAGCACTTTTTCTGCATTCAGCCAAGAGAAATATTCACATCCAACCAAACCATATAAGAGTCCACATGCCACTTTATCCTACCGCACTCCTTCTCCAACCCAAGTGCTAAAGACAGACTACCTATCCATCCCATCATTAAGCATCTACATAATTGTTGAACTCCAAGGATTGTCCTCAGAAGTAGTGTTAGTTGGTGGCTGCATTCTTCTTGAACAATAACAGAACTATACTGTAAAAACCAGACAACATTTCATTGGTGCAACATCCTACAATAACAACCTAAGCCCAGCTCCTTCACAGATGTACCCTACTTAAACAAGAGGAATGTGCACCCTCAAGCTTAGATTGAGCATCAATTAACCAGTCCTCCTCAAGTGGAGTGGCTAAAGCCAAGTTGTTTATGAAAACATGCAAGCTAAGCGTGATAAATGTGTATGTATTCCAGCTTAAGAAAACACATTCAACGAAAATAACTAGGTTGCTACAGATATGTTCTCTTCTTTGGCTCGTGAAATTGCATCCAGAAGTTGTTGGAACAGCTCACACACCCACTTTATCATCCGTTGTATACCTCTATTAAAATAAAATGGCTTGATGTTTATCCATCAATGAATGATGCTTATCCATACATATCTATTTCTCAAGCTTGGGATGCTGTTAGTTCACGAAGATGAAATGGCCAATTTTGAATGTCATTCCTATTCAATCATATTCTTTCCATCAAAGACAAAAGTCCTCACAAAACCAGTCAGAATTGTATAAGATAAGACAGATCAATGCATCAGCATAATGCAAAATTAATGCATGGCAAGAGACATGACCACAATCTAACAGAAGACGCGATACTTAATTGAGCTGAAAAATTCCCTGTAGTATACCAAATTGAGTTTGAAGAAAAGGCTAGTTGAATTAAATGACCGGGAAAGGCAGACTGTCCAGCCAACAACAACAGATGTGAGCTATAAGCTTCCAGCACATTAAAAGGTTGTTTTTTTCATTTAATCATGCATAAGGACCTTAAATAGCTTATTACCAATAAAATAACCCACTTAAAAATTTCCACAAAAATTCAATTTTAATATTATAAATTTGTGTCCTAAATATCAGATAGAAAAAGGACATGTGATTATATGCACTGTCTACAACTCCCGAGAAAGGAACCATTCCCGATAGATATATNAAATTCAATTTTAATATTATAAATTTGTGTCCTAAATATCAGATAGAAAAAGGACATATGATTATATGCACTGTCTACAACTCCCGAGAAAGGAACCATTCCCGATAGATATATATCCAGATTGTGCAAACTACAGTAAAACTGATTGAATTTTCAATAATTAATATTCTTTTTATTATCCTTTCTCTCTTGGGTTCAACCGGAACATCCTTATTTGGACTAATCAGCTGCTATCTGTCGCTCCATTATCCAAATGAGTTTAATAGACGTGCAAAGTTTCAAAACACAGGCTTACCACCCAAGGTGTCCTCCGATGACCGCTCAACACTTTTAAACACCTCCCAGTTTGGCAATCAATTATCTTTACAGTATGGTCTCCACTGCCACCACATAACACATTAAAGTTAGCAAAGTTACACATACTTTTACAATCAATTGAATTGAGAGAATAACATCAACTTACTGTGTGGAAGCAAGCGTTTTTCCATCAGGGCTGAAGGCCGCCGCAATCGTTGACCTAGGAGGAGGCAGCAGTGGACAATATCTGGCTGATAAATTCTGCAGTGATTCCGCCTCTACCCTGTAACAATAAAAAATGTTTCAGAAAATTTATCAGAGGGGTAATTTATGGGTTACACAGCAACAAAGCGCCAATCCATGAATGAGAAAAAAAAAAACACAAGAAAGGAAATAGATGTATATATCCAATTTCGGTAAGAATGGAAAATAGCAACCGCTAAAATATCAATTACCATGAAAGAAGTCCTTGTCTTGCATCTCTTGCTGCTTCGCATTTCAGCCCCAATGAATCAATATGGCCTATAGAAGCCTCTCCCCATAACTTTTTGGAAGAATGTTTGGTTCGGGGAGATACCTCCCTCCGTGCTAAAAGTTGAAATACATTACTACAGCTAGCACAATTGTACAACAAAACTCAATCAGCTCAAAAAAACCCAAATACATGCAAAATAACCTAAATCTTGGCACTATCCTTTGCAAACACAAAGTTATAGGTCATTATGTACTCTTTTTTTTTTTTTTTTTGATAGGAAACAATACTAATTAATAATAAAAATATATGTAGTACAATATGAAAGCAAAGGTGAACATGTAGTCCAAACATAGTGCATCACAGCATAAAAGCGCTACATCAGAACTGAAAAAATAGAAAAACAAGCAAAATGTATAATTATCATCCACAAACAATTTTCCAACTCCTCAAAATTCCAAAAAAGAGGCAAATTTGCAAACTCCTTCAATGTCGATGCCCAGAAGAATGCTAAGAAGTAGATAGACTCCATAATCCTTTAAGCAACTCACACTTATCTTAAAAATTCTTGTTTCAATGGGTCACAATGTGGAATCGATACAAGCAAAATAACCCAAATTTTGGGCTTGTCCCTTACAAACAAAGTTNACTACACACCCTAGACTTGTTAAGTTATATATCACTTCGAAGACATTGCACTAATCTTTAATAATTAAACCATCATTGGCCTTTGCATTACCCTTAATCATTACTCGTTACACTTGATCTTAGTCAAAAGGCCAAGAAAGGGATTAATTTTTCATTACACTTACTCATGCAAAAATAATTAATCCGGGTGGAGGATCTTTCCCAAAAACGCCAAGCCACAATCGAGCAATGCTCACTACAATGAAACGCACAAGCTAGCTCTCTCCAAGAGGCAAAGGCTTCGGGTGTCCTCCGAGAGACTAACTCTCTTCTTCCCATTGTGGGATCCAATCCCCAAGACCAAATTAAACATATAAAGATAAATTTCCCACATGCAATTATTGATCCTCAGATCGCACAAATAGTTTCCTTATAGGAAATTGGAATTACCCGAAAATCAGCTCAGAATTCCTCGAAAACCCATCAAATTTTACATTCTCCGACTAAACCAATCAACTGGAAATGCAAAACCAACAAATATTGAGGTAGTAAGAGTTGATTTTGGACCTGTGTTTGGAATTGCGGAGATTTGGAACAGCTTGAGGAAGACGCGGCCGTGGCTGAGAACTTGACGTTGTTGGATCATTCAAATTGTCCGGCAAGAACGACGACCTCATAATTTTCCCAAGAAAATCTCATGCTCCAATAATTTCCGGCATTCTCTTCGATAATCGGCGAGAAAAACGAAAATTGTCCGATAAAATTTCAGATTCGAAGATCGAAGACCATATTTAATCAATTCGATTATTGAAAACGTCTTCGAATTGTGAAATAACTTACAACATAGACAGAGGAGATCGATAGGCCTCTGTGTATAGAATTGAGAGAGAAAGAGAGACTGTTGCGAAGGGCAAAATCGGAATAAGAAAAGACTAAAAAGGAGAGGAAGAAGAGTAAGCGATTACAATGGTTTTGTCGAGGGTAGGGTGGGCGTGGAGGGGAGGTTGGCTTTGGTTTGGGCGGTGCCTCGGCTTTATTTTTCAGGTCAGGCTCTTTTATTTATCCGCTTATCCAAAAAAAAATTGACTAATGCTGTTGGGACATAATTTAAAAATATAATGAGTTATAACCGATGAAACGATATTGAAATGTATTTAATGATATGTCCTATTGTAACATTAAATGAATTCATTTACGTACACACCTCTAATATTTTTCGCTTAATCATGTAGACCTCGTCACATTTGAGATATTATACTCTGATCTTTATCAAAAACATTGAAATATTATACTCTTATCAATTAACACTACCATTGCCCTCTATTATTAAAACGAAAATTTTAAGAACTAAAATTTTTTTCTTAAAACCTTATAAAGCAAAATTAGGATTTACCTTTGCGATCGTTCGAGATTGATTTCGTCTAAACACGAACGCAGAACTTAACAACGAATGCGAAAGATAGCTCGACAAACCTCGCGACCTTCTATCGTTTATCCCCAAACGTCAGAATTCAAATGCAATGTGGGCTGCTAGAACTTTCGAACTCCTGCTCTACCTTTCAGCCTGTCCCAAAAAACGTGAGTAAAAAATAGATGCTAAATTAGAGAGTTTAGACATCTACATATAAGCTACGACATAAACCCTAAATAGAAATAAGGACTAGGCTTCCAATAGACTTACAATTCCTATATTCAACCCATAACAAGCATCCTACAACCCATTAATAATAAGTCAATCCACTAAAAATTTATTATTGATCTGCTGAGTCTTATCTCAAAATTATATTCGAGCTCCTTATTATTATATGCTTAATAATCTCCCCACGTTTAAGATTACAAATGTTCATCAATTAAATAATTACTGAAAATTATATTTAGTTGACTTTTTTTATTCTTTGAGACCTTACCACTCAACTTATTTGTCACGTTGGATAATTAAATCCACCTACAGGTTCTTCAAGAGGACAGCATCAACCCATTTAAATATTAGGACGTGATTTTCTTTAATAATTAATTCCCACCGTACAAATAACATCGTCTCCTAATTTATCGAGTTTATTGACTCAATATGAATCTCACCCTTTGATGAATTAAGTCACAAACTATATATGCACGAGACAATTAAAAATTTTGGGATTAAGAGCATAAGCAATCATAATAATCATGAGGCATTTATTATTTTATTAAATTAGTAAAAGATAATAACATCAACATGGGTCTGTTCAATACATAAAGTGTACTAGTGTAATAATCCGAGATATCAAACAGTCTCTTACAGTCAAAGACAGACTGTGTCAGAATATTACACTACAATCATATTAATACTGTGTCCAATTTCATCTAGAATTATGAACCTATTCTCATATTATATAAAGATCTGATAATCTAGTCTTCTGTGCATAAGCCGAACTCTACATACCAGATTATCTACAATATAAAATACAAGACATACATGTATACCATATATTGAATATAATGCAAATATTTTGCTCATATAGATTCTCAATAAAATGAAAAAGAACAAATTTCTATTAATTAATAAAATGAGTTTCATTACAAAAAATAAATTTTTAGTATACTACTCTATCATTTATACCCCATCTTCTCTCCTCTTCCATCCACTGTTCCACCCCCTTTCACTGCCTCTGTGTTCCTTCATGTCTCTACCACTGTTACCTTCCATTAATCCTTATTTTCTCTTTCTTTCTACATGGCTCCACCGATACTACTATCTCCAGAGCCACATTCCAACTAGTTTCTCAAATTAGAGAGAGGTATTTTCTCTTTCATTNGAAGGGCAAAATCGGAATAAGAAAAGACTAAAAAGGAGAGGAAGAAGAGTAAGCGATAACAATGGTTTTGTCGAGGGTAGGGTGGGCGTGGAGGGGAGGCTGGCTTTGGTTTGGGCGGTGCCTCGGCTTTATTTTTCAGGTCAGGCTCTTTTATTTATCCGCTTACCCAAAAAAAAGTTGACTAATGCTATTGGGACATAATTTAAAAATATAATGAGTTATCACCGATGAAACGATATTGAAATGTATTTAATGATATGTCCTATTGTAACATTAAATGAATTCATTTACATACACACCTCTAATATTTTTCGCTTAATCATGTAGACCTCGTCACATTTGAGATATTATACTCTGATCTTTATCAAAAACATTGAAATATTATACTCTTATCAATTAACACTACCATTGCCCTCTATTATTAAAACGAAAATTTCAAGAACTAAAATTTTTTTCTTAAAACCTTATAAAGCAAAATTAGGATTTACCTTTGCGATCGTTCGAGATTGATTTCGTCTAAGCACGAACGCAGAACTTAACAACAAATGCGAAAGATAGCTCGACAAACCTCGCGACCTTCTATCGTTTATCCCCAAACGTCAAAATTCAAATACAATGTGGGCTACTAGAACTTTCGAACTCCTGCTCTACCTTTCAGCCTGTCTCAAAAAACGTGAGTAAAAAATAGATGCTAAATTAGAGAGTTTAGACATCTACGTATAAGATACGACAGAAACCCTAAATAGAAATAAGGACTAGGCTTCCAATGGACTTACAATTCCTATATTCAACCCATAACAAGCATTCTACAACCCATTAATAATAAGTCAATCCATTAAAAATTTATTATTGATCTGCTGAGTCTTATCTCAAAATTATATTCGAGCTCCTTATTATTATATGCTTAATAATCTCCCCACGTTTAAGATTACAAATGTTCATCAATTAAATAATTACTGACAATTATATTTAGTTGACTTTTTTTATTCTTTAAGACCTTACCACTCAACTTATTTGTCACGTTGTATAATTAAATCCACCTACAGGTTCTTCAAGAGGACATCATCAACCCATTTAAATATTAGGACGTGATTTTCTTTAATAATTAATTCCCACCGTACAAATAACATCGTCTCCTAATTCATCAAGTTTATTGACTCAATATGAATCTCACCCTTTGATGAATTAAAGTCACAAACTATATATGCACGAGACAATTAAAAATTTTAGGATTAAGAACATAAGCAATCATAATAATCATGAGACATTTATTATTTTATTAAATCAGTAAAAGATAATAACATCAACATGGGTCTGTTCAATACGCAAAATGTACTAGTGTAATAATCTGAGATATCAAACAGTCTCTTACAGTCAAAGACAGACTGTGTCAGAATATTACACTACAATCATATTAATACTGTGTCCAATTTCATCTAGAATTATGAACATATTCTCATATTATATAAAGATCTGATAATCTAGTCTTCTGTGCATAAGCCGAACTCTACATACCAGATTATCTACAATATAAAATACAAGACATACATGTATACCATATATTGAATATAATGCAAATATTTTGCTCATATAGATTCTCAATAAAATGAAAAAGAACAAACTTCTATTAATTAATAAAATGAGTTTTATTACAAAAAATAAATTTTTAGTATACTACTCTATCATTTATACCCCATCTGCTCTCCTCTTCCATTCACTGTTCCACCCCCCTTTCACTGCCTCTCTGTTCCTTCATGTCTCTACCACTGTTACCTTCCATTAATCCTTATTTTCTCTTTCTTTCTACATGGCTCCATCGATACTACTATCTCCAGAGCCACATTCCAACTAGTTTCTCAAATTAGAGAGAGGTATTTTCTCTTTCATTTCTTGTTTTACCTAAAATTCGACTTCTTTATGGTTTTCAGATTTTAATATCACAAAATTTGAGAGCTTTCGGGTTCAATTTTGAAGGGGTTCAAAATATCCTTGTGTATAATTAGACCATTTAATATGGATACGTGGCATGAGGCAAGCAACCAAAAAAAAAAAAACCAGATAATTTGGTGAAGACAATGCCTCTGATCGAGCTAAAAATGGTTCAACCAAACAAGCATTAGTATCAGTCAATCGGAATTGGAATCACCTTCAGGAAACAATTTGGTTAGATAAGGTCTCAAGAAATTTGTGTAGATTTAGCAAATGTGTAGAAGACACTTTGAACAAACCAACACCTAAGGGAGACATTGGTTTCTCAATTCAGGGGATAAAGAATAGGTTCACCCGAGCAAAGGATAGTTATGTTGTCGCTAATGATCAAAGGCAATTATGGGCAGTTGATAGGAAAACTAGCTATTCAAAGGTGCACAGTATAAACGTACCTAAAAATTGATGAACGAGGAAAAAAAACCTAAAAAGATTCAATCAATAATTTAGAAAGACTTGGCTGGATTATAGGTGTGCCACTTTATTCCAACTAGTATTCTAAACCCTAAAGTTGAGGTACACTCCTATAAATAATAGATAACCTTAAGTCTAAAGTTAGATTTCTTGTCCTTGCTAATTGCTTGCTTAACCTCAGAGTTTTTACTAACTTAAGCATCGAAATATCTCTGATTTGTTAAACCTTGGTTTGTGGTAGTTTGTTCATCTTGCATAGGAAAGGTGCATCCAATTCACTTGATCATAGTCATTCGACTCCCGAAAATAATCGTCATTGATTCCATCGTTATTAAGGTACAAAATTGTTCTCGTACAAATTTAATATCTTTTTTGGCTTTTTGACTTGGTTACTGTAATTTACTATAAATGGAGGTTATAGTTGTGTTCTTTTCAGCATTATCTCAAGTGTGCTAAGTTGAATTTTCTTGATTGGCCCAACGTTGAAACAAAGAGGTTAGAATATGTTTATTCTCAACAATGGTGTTTGGGTGGTTGTGCTAGTGAAGTCTTTCTCTCTCACAATGGGTTTGCAACGAGTGGGGAATAGATGGAGGTAATGGGTTGTGATTTTTGGGAGTTGATGGTGGTTGTGGTAGTGGCACGATAATAATGGCGATTATAAGTTGGTGCTTCAATAAGAATGTGTGCATTATGGCTTAGCGATGACAGGGCATTTTTGTGAAAATGTGGGTATAATTTTTTGCTTCAAAGGGTTACGGGAGGATAAGGGGTAGTGTGCGGGCAAAAATTCGCATGATCACTGAAATGTGTTGAGGTGCGCCCTT